CTCTCACATCAATGTTTCCCTCCCTTTCTTTCTCCCTCCCTCCCCTTCTCTCTGAAAATAAATAAAAAAATTTTTAACTGTTTTGAGCAATGGGAAAAACATCTTGACAGGTATATTTCATCAAATAAACAGTACTCTGACAGTAACTGATGTTTAAACATGTAAGAATAAATACACAATTTTTGTAAATAAATTCAATTTTGGGGGGGTCCCCTCTCGTGTGTGTGTGTGTGTGTGTGTGTGTGTCTGTATGTTAAAAAAAATCAAAGTGCATAAGGTAAAAACTAGAAGTTCTTTCAAAATCTACCTTCTCAGAGTCCAAATCTTTAACAGTTTGACCTCCAGGTTTTTGGTTTTTGTTTTTAACGTATATATGCCAAAAATAATATCATTTTATACGTGCTGTTTTATAGCCTACTTTTTCCACTCAACAATATCTTATGAAAATTTTTCACAGCAAGGAACACAGGTTCATTATATTGCAGTCTTTTTAATGGCTGCTCAGCCGGGTTAACAACGCCCATGGTTATGGAGCAGTCAGGTGTGATATGGCTGACTTGGCAATTAGGAGGTCACAGCTTCAGGGAGCAGTGAGTAGAGACCAAGCAGATAAGGAATGAGGAAAACATAAGGGAGATAAAGAGGGAACAAGTCTAGCAAACTAGCCTTTCAAAAAACTTGGATGAAACTTTAATACACACACAGAGTATCAGTAACAACACTAAAGCAAGTAGTCCATCTTTTGATAGTAAGATTATAAGCTACTTGTTTTCTTTCTTTTTATCTTTATTTTCTAAGATTTCTACAATGGTCATATATCATTTTTGTAATAAGACAAAACCACTGGTTTAAAACAGCAGCAACTAGTAGAGAACTTAGGGTTAGAAAGGTTTTTTCAGATAGGAGATGAGCATATTTATAAGCTGGTACAGTAAGAAGGGGAAATAAAAGCCCTGGCTGATGTAGCTCAGTAGATTGAGCGCAGGCTGCGAACCAAAGCATCGCAGGTTCGATTCCCAGTCAGGGCACATGCTTGGGTTGTAGGCCATGGCCCCCAGCAACAGCACACTGTTTCTCTCTCTCTCTCTCTTTCTCTCTCTCTCTCTCTCTCTCTCTCTCTCCCCCCCTTCCCTCTCTAAAAATACATACATAAATAAATAAATAAATTTAAAAAAAAAAAGAAGGGGAAATAGCTGATGGACAATGGTACCTTGGGAAACAGAGGGCCAGCTTCCACAGCACAGAGTAGGCACATGAGGCTAGGATACTTCCTTCTACTGGGACTCAGGAAGTGGGGAAACATGGATGTGGTTCCACTTCTCCCACAAACCCCCAACCACCCTTTCTGTGAGTAAAGAGTTTTGGGAGAGTAGTCCAGTTTGGAATAGTCCTCTCATGAAATGGAATGATGAGCTGTTGGGAAGAGAAGGATTTCCAGAAAGTGATGAGGGACAGCTGAGGCTGGAGACCCTGCGTGGAAGCAGAACCAGACTGCCCTGGAATGTGATGACCCCCAGAAGCTTTCTATATGCTGAGCATAGAATCCAAAATTGGATCTTCTGCTGCTGGGTTGGGGGACACACAGGCAAAGCGGCAGGGTAGCTGAGGGCATGGGCCAGAGAATGGTTAAAATCCTGGACCCTGAGGTCCAGAAAAGACACAGAAGGTGGATGCTATGGTATAAAGAAAATAAAGGTATCAGAGAATGAGGTCTCTGTAGGGTCCCAAAGCAGGAAAAGTAAAAGTTGGACTGTGGTCAGAGCATACTGGAGTTTCAGATTTCAGAGGAAGCCATATGCCAATGATGGCCAGACTCAGGAGTGCCTAGTAGAAGGGGTGGCTGAAGGAGGCATCGCCTCCCGTGAGACAATGGGATGTGAAGTGGGAGACTGTTGTCCAGCACTGAAGTCCTCCAAGAAAACAATGAAGAGAGGCAGGGGGAGTGTGGGCAATAACTGCATTGTAGGAGTGTCAAAGGAGGTAACTCTAATTCTGGCTCCAGTCCCCAGTACCAGGCTGTCTTCAAAGGTGTACCGTGGTTACAGAGAAGTCAGTGTAGCAAAGTATGAATGACTCAGACTGGGAGAAGCCAGAGCTCGGTGCCAGAACACAGGGCAAACTTTTCCACTTGTATATGAAGGTTAGCCCAGAGAAAGTTTAAGCTTGGGAGGACTGCAGGAGACTCTGGTCACCAGAACTAGCCTGTGTGTGTGAAGGAGGTGGAGGGAAAGAGGGAGAATTGAGTGGCCCCTGCAAACCAAATTTCTTGACTGCAGAATGGGAAAAGTAGGAATTTGCTCCTCAATTGAGTCTTTCATAATGTTAGCAGTGTGGGTTGGGAGTTGCTACATATCCCTCCAAAGATGTAGAAGGAAGGACCACCCTAGTTATCAATAGAATAGTGAATATTACCTGAATTTTATTTTAAAAACCCAGATTATAGCCCTGGCTGGACAGCTAAATTGGTTAGAGCATCGTGCTGATATCATGCTGATACACCTAGGTTGCGAGTTCCATCCCCAGTCAGGACACATGCAAGAAGCAACCAATGAATGCATAAATAAGTGGAACAACACATCAATGTCTGTCTGTTTGTCTGTCTCTCTCTCCATCCCACTTCCTCTCCCACAAAAAAGTCAATGAAAAAAAACCCCAGATTATAGTTTGTTCCATTTCTCACAGTGAAGCTGGGAGGACAGAAGCTGCCACAGCGGAGAGAGTGAGGCCCACAGCAGGGAGAAGACACTCAAGCCTGGCTCCAGATTAGGCTAGAGACCCGGGGCTGGTACCAGGGCTGCTGCTCATCAGCCCTGCCTCCTCCCCAGCATGAGCCCTTCATCCTTCACATAGAAATGGTCATTTTCTTCCTGCCCGCCTATCTAAGATGGAAGTTTGCCCCTCTTGCTTGACCTTTGGTCCCCTTAGCCACCCCAACCCTGAAGTTCCAGAACTCATAAAGTAGCACTTCTCTGGCATTGCTATCACTGTCCTATGGTGACTCTTCTTCAGTAGTCCCTACTAATCCTGTGCCTGGCATTTGAGGTCTTGTGTCAAGCCTCCTGTCCCACTACTCTTTGCTTTTCCATCTCAGGCTGACCTGCTTCCCACACTACCCAGCTTCATGCATGAGATCATGTCTAGCCAGCCCCTGTGCTTCCAGGGCCCCTAAACCAGAGCCCTGTCAGCTCCTTTAAGTACTACTATTTTCTCACATCCCATCTCTCTTGGGAAACCTTTCCAGACATCCCTGCCATGCATCCCACTGCTTAAATTCTAAACCAGTTGTTGGACACCAAGCCGTCACTCATTCCCACCTAATCTCTTCCTCAGTCTCTCATGGGTGGGGCTTCTAGGAGGGACCCAACTCAGGCCACGACACAGACCACGGTCAATCTATATTCTTGCTTAAGATGTGGATACCCTCCCAAAGGATGGGAAAGGAGCAACTGATGCCCTTCCCCAACCAGGCTAAGCCCACAGCTTCTGTCAACCCTGCTGTCCCACAACTCCAGGAAACCTTCAGAGACTCCAGGCTGTCAGCAGAGAAAGAAGTGCAGCCCCTAGAGGAAATGCTGTGGGGAGGGAGGCAGAGAGAATGAAGAGAAAAGGAAAAGGAAGAACTGAAACAAGCAGCTTCCTCAAGGGAGGTCAGTATTTAACCCTATTATTTTGTCCCTAGACAAAGGTGCTGGCAAAGAGATGCCCAGAGAGAGGACAAACTTGTTCAGAGGTGGCCCGCCAGCCAGCTAAAGAATTCCCTTGGTTTGCTAGGCCAAGAAGATTCCTTCTGTGGCCCATTCACTAGAGACACTCCTCTCTCAGTTCTGGGGACTTTGCCTTCAGGCTCACCAAACCCAGATCAAATTTCAGCTAGCAAGACTTGTGTAGCCCGAACAGAATCATTTCCACCAGCAATGCCCCTGCAAGAACCATCCCCTTCTTTCAGAGACCTGCCCCTTGGAGGCAGAACCCATAAGGCATTGGCTGCAAAATTCTCCAGACTCCCCCACCCCATGGGCTCACGTGGCAGGTCCAGAAAAGCTGTGCTTAATTCCCACCTCTATGTCTTTGCCCATACCATTCATTACCCAGGAATGCCTCCTTTTGCCTCTTCTCCCATGCAAATTTCACCTCCTCCAGGAAGTTTATTTACTTGCTCTTGCCTCCTTTTCGCCTTGTGCTCCTTGTGTCCGCAGGAAAGCCTGCCTCGCTCTCCCTAAACTCTCCATCCCGCAGCTGAGGCACGGGTTGAAACCACCTAAGATGAATTCTCAGTCTCTACTTGGTTCTCCCAACCTCCAGACCAGGAGCTCCCGGGAGGCAGGGGTAGGGGCAGCTTCCCAAACACCTCACCCTCATCCCCGTGACCGACTCTTGCGGACTCCTTTGAGTGTTATGCGGCACACCCAAAAAAACCACCCCAGCCGGGCAGACCCAGGCTCAAGCCAATGAATGCACCCATCCCAGAATCCCTGAGGTGGCTCAGACCAGCCTTCCAAAGGTCGGTCGCCCAGGGAGGTGGAGGGGAGCGGAGGGCAGGTAACAACCTGGGCCCACCTGCAGGCGCCTCTTGTGGGGAAGGACCCAAAGGAGGCCTCAGTTACCCTGTCTCCAGTCTCCCCCATCTCGGATCGCGTGTACCATCCCCAGGAGGAGGAGGGAGGCCGGTTCCCAGGGAACTCCAGGTGGGGGTGGGGGGAATGGAGGACCCAAGGCCCAGGCTTCAGAATCCAGAAGCCTGACGTCACCCAAGACAAGGGTTCCCTCTGAGGGGGCTGGGGATGGTGGGGTTTGGAGGACCAGGGGTCACCCAGGACACTCTTCCTCCACTCTAAACAAGGAAGGTGACCTCGACTCTCCACCTCTCCAGCATCTCGGCCTGCCCCTTGCATACAAAGGTGAAGCGTAGGGTACAAACCTACAGAGGGGGTGACCACCTCTCGCCCTGCGCCCAGCTTCCCTGAAAAGCCCTTCTCTTGAGCCTTCAGGCCCGAACTCACCCGCAGCAGTCTCTCCGCTGCTGAAAGGCAGAAGCACTGCCCTGCGTTGCGCTGCACCGGCGAAGCGGCGCAGAGCCCGCCGAGCAAGAGCCGCTTAGGGGTCGGGGGTGGGGAGCGCGCGCGCGCCTCCAGCTTGCTCCGCGCGCGCGCTCTCCGCACCGCCCCCGCCAGCGAGAGCTCTCGCGAGACTCCTGTGCCGCTTCTAAGGCCCCCCCCTCTCCCTGCTCTCGCGAGAAGGAAGACTAGGAACACTTGCACACCTTACAGGAGCTATCCGAGGTCCTAAGTCCTGTCTCTGGCTGGGTCAGGTGGCCGGCGGCACTGCAGGGACTAGAGCTTGGCGAATACGTGGAGAAAGAGACCCAGGAATGGAAGCTTGGCACCAGCAGCCAGAACCTCAGCTTCCAAATCTGTAAACTGAAGAAAATAACTTCCTATGCCATTTCCATCGGCCTCTGGGATTTACCAGAAAGGAGTGAAAAAAGAGTTTTGTGAGCGGGAGAGCATGGTGACTGATGAAGGTCCTCCAGGTCCACAGGGCCAAAGTGACAGCAATGGGATGGAAGATGGAAGCTCAGAGATGAGACATGAGGACACAAAGATGAGACATAGACAGAAACGAACACACAGATCCATGGAAAAGATAGACATAGACGGGCAAGAGAGGAGAGCCATGAACATAGAGGCATTAGAAACATGGGGAGACAGAGATACAGAAACATAGAAAGTATCAAGATTTGGAGAGAACAAATACATGGAAAAAGAGAGAAAAGAGAACGTGATGAAATCACAAAAAGATAAGAAACAGGGGCAGGCAACCTACACAAAGGAATAGAAAGAGAGAGGCTGAGAGAAAGAATGAAGGAGACTATGATATGCAGAAATGAACACCTAAAAAGATTAGAGGCCAGGGCAAACGTTAAAATAAAACCCAGAACCAATGATGGTTGAGAGATACCCACGTGGAGAGATGGGGCTGGGAGTGCAAGACTGGCTTGTATTGTGAGTGGTGTTTACAGTGTAAACCTCCTGTGGGATCTCTCCAGCCAGGACCACCCTCTGTCCTGCCAGCCAATAGCCCCTGCCACCCACAGTGCCCTCTGCCCACACCATCCCAGGCCTGGAAGGGGGCCTCAGTGAGTGGGACACAGTGCAGGGATTCTTTGCCCAGAATAAAAGCCCATTGTCTTACTCCAGCCTGCTGGGAGTTGGGCCTCACTCTCACAGCTGAACTGGAAAGGGAGTTGGAGTTAAAAAAAAAAAAAAGGCAGGGGCAGACAATAACTAGTAAGGGAGAGACAAGGGGGCGAGCCTCAGGGACTATGGAAGTTTGGGCAGGAAGCATAACCTAGCCACCAAACCAGTCATGGGGGAAGAGTCCTGGTCTATGGACAGGACAACAGGGTCCTGCTGTTGATCCTGTCCCTGGTTCACCTGCATGGTCACTGCTGTCTATCCATGCTGTAATGCAAGCTTTAGCCTATTTACAGAGCTGTCAGGAAGACCCAATGACATGATGACTGGGCACCTGAGGAGGTTATCAAGCATCGCCCCTACAGGAGAGATTTTGGGAGTCCAAGTGAGCCTCAAGAAAGAAAAGTTCACATGAGCCTTCAGGAGAGAATTCAGGTCCATGTTGAAGCCTTCTCACCTGTAGTAAATGTCACATACACTCACGTGCCATTCACCAAAGCATGTCTTATAACTAATGCATGGGTGACCGAGATGTCTGGGACCCACATAGAACTTGCAGGAGGTATTTTGTGGCTCATGCAAGTTGTATAGGATATGTTTGTGTTCCCATTTGATGAGCAAGGATGACTTTTCCCCAATCAGGAGAATTGGAAGGACCTCCTGTTTGACTAACAACAGATGTGAAAAAAGTGCCCAGATCCAAAGACAGAAGTCCATGTTTGTCTCTGTATATCACATCTTTGGAATTTGAGTCAATGGGAGGGAAGAATGCTTCAGTAGTGACAATTATTCAAGCAAACTTTTATTCAGCAAGCATTTGCTCATTACCTACTGTGAGAAACAGCATAATACAGTGCTTAAGAATATGGACCTAGAAGGCAGACTGCCTGACCATTCCCAGCTGTGTGAGGTACTCATCCTTATTGAACTTTCATTTTCCACATATGCAAAATAAGAATGATGATAATAGACCTGTGTCTTAGAGGTCTTGTGAGGATGAAATGAATTAACCCATGCAGACCTGTGTAACCCATGGGACAGTGCCTGGTACATGGTAAGTGTTTAATAAGTACTAGTTCATACTGCGTGCCAGGCTCTGGGGACACGTCATGGTTTTCCAGTGGTGGAGGGTGGGAATGAAAGAGCCTGAGCCAAATTATGCAATAACGCATTTAAAATTTCTTCTTCTCAAATGTGAATGTCACATAGGCTCACATATCATTCACCAAAGTATGCCTTATGACTAATGCATAGGTGAGAGGGAGATGTGTTCCCTCTAGAGGATGCAAGGCCTGACAGTGGGGCAGTTTAATCCTATTGCAGGGAGAGGGCAAGTAACTGGGAGCAGTAATCCAATCACCCACAGGGCCAACTTCAAACTGCTTGTCTTTTCCTGCCTACCTATGGCTGAATGAGGCATGCCACCCACGGGTCTCTGAGAGGAGAATATCTATGTTACAGACCAGTAAAAGATGGAAAAGAAAAGAGAACTGGCATTTACTGAACCTTTAATATATCTGAGTGAGATGCGAAGCCTCATCACTATCCTATGAATGAGTGCTTCCCTTCCGCCTATCTCGTAGATGAGTAAAGTGAAGCTCAGAAAAGGAAAAGTGATCTGCCCAAGGAAATAAAACAGATGTATCTTAAAAATGGAAGAACGAGCATCTTTACGTTAGGTTTCCCCAGAAGCAGACGCTGAGATAACAATGTGAGAACAAATGGTCTATTTGAGAGATAATCACAGGAAGCACTAATAGAAGAATGGAGGAAGTTGAAACAAGGAAGTAAAGGGAAGCTAATTCAGGATGCAATAATGAGCAGGCTACATGGAGGGGACATGGGGACCGCTGGGACATAGTCCAGAAATACAACACAATTGTTCCACTAAAGAAATGGGGAAATTAAGGGTTGAGTGTGCTTGTGGCACTTCCAGACTTCCCTGTGTGCCTTCTTGGCAGAGAAAGCCCTCAGTAAAAAAATCTCAAGGTCTTACAATAAGAAGCCATCAGAAATGTCTAAGGGGGAATGGGAAGTGTACTACGTAGTAGCATCTAGTACAACCAAGATCTGATCCTAAGTCTTGTCTGGCTCTCAAGTCACATCATGCTGCCTGCAAGGTAACCTGTTAGTCCTGTGGAAATTTGCAATATAGAAACTCCTTTCTTAACAAAGAGCTGCCTGCTACCCGCTACCCCATGTCCCAGATTTTGTGAGATGCCAAGTCCCTGACACTTAGTGTGTATACAAGATGCACAGCACTGAGTGTACAGTGACATGCATTCTTGCCTGCAGAGCCATGGCAATGTCAGAGCACTTTGTGCAGGCTACTCAGTACCCAGGTAGGCAACCCTGAAGTTCAGAGAGTTCACTCTAGACCTTCCCACATGTGTCTCTACCCTGCACACCTCCTCCCCATCACCCCACTCCCTATGTCTTCTCTCCCCAACCAGGAAGAAACTTCCCCACAGCAACCCACAGAATGGGAGAAAATACTTGCATCTGGAATATATGAAAAATTCATACAAGAAAATAATAATAAGACAAATAACTCACTTTTAAAGTGGGCAAAGGATCTGAAAAGGAATTTCTCCAAATAAGATACATAGATGGTTGATAAGCACATAAAAACATGCTCAACATCGTTAGTCACTAGAGAAAGGTAAATCAAAACCACAATGAGATATCACTTCACATCCATTAGAATGGTTATGGTAAAAAAGACAGATAACAAGTATTAATACGGATGTGGAGAAATTGAAATCCTCATATACTGCTAGTAGAAATGTAAATGGTGCAGCCACTTTGAAAAGTATTCGGAAAATTCCTCGAAAAGTTAAACATAGTTTTTGTTTGACCTAGCAATTCTACTTCTAGCTAAATACCCAAAAGAAGTAAAAACATAAATTCACAAAACACTTGCAAATTCATTGCAGCTTTATTCTTTTAGTTAAAAGTGGAAACAGCCCTGGCTGGTGTGGCTCAGTGGATTAAGTGCAGGCCTGTGAACCAACAGGTCACTGGTTCAATTCCCAGTCAGGGTGCATGCCTGGGCTGTGGGCCAGATCTCCAGTAGGAGGCACTTGAGAGGCAACCGCACATTGATATTTCTCTTCCTCTCTTTCTCCCTCCCTTCCCCTCTTTCTAAAAATAAATAAATAAAATCTTCTATTAAAAAGTAAAGAAAAAAAGAAGTGTTGATTTTTTAAAAAAACTGGAAACAGCCATCAACAAGAGAATCAATAAACAAATTATTGTATATTCATACAATGTAATATGATTCAACAATAAAAATGTATGTGTAACTGGTACATATGCCAGACCAAGAAATACATGATTCCATTTGTATAAAGTTCAAGAAGAGAAAAGTTAACATGAAAGAAGTCAGAATAGTAGTTGCTAGGTGGGGTGTGGGGTGCATAGATTGATTGGAAAGAGACAGAAAATAAGTTTCCGGGGTGATGGAAATATTCTAGATCTTGTTTTGGATGGTAGTTACAATGTATATAAAATTGTCAAAATTTATCAAGTTGAAAAATTAAGATCTGTGCATTTTATTCTATGTAAATTATAATTCAGTAAAGTACTGTTAACTTCTTTAAAACAGGAATTCCTGGGGCCATTTGAGTCTAGGCAACAAGGACAATTGCTTATATACAAAGCCATAGTCAACCTTCCACTAGCAGTGCCTCCAACACACCACTTGGGGACAGCCATGCCCGCAATGACTAACACTTGGCAGAGCTAATTGTCCACCTACAAAGTTGCTCTGCTGGCAGCTAGAAGTGTGAGCACTGCTGGCCAACACACAGCTTCATCCTTACCACCTCTTCCAGCCTAGCTAGCAGCTCTGAACATGCAGCACCCTCTGCTCACTTGTCAAGTTGGAACAGGAGTTCCCATCCAAACCTGCTCCCACTAACTG